CCTCGCTCGGGTGGTGGCCGGGGTACCCGAATTCCAGGCAGCTGCACGGCCCTGGCACCCCTCCGAGCAGGCAGCAGCTAACCGGGCGTGCAGCCCCGCGGGATTAGCTCCCTCCAGCAGCTCCCTACAGCAGCATCCAAACGCAAACCGGCGGCGGCTTCACACTGAGAACCTCCCCTTTTTGCAAACTGCCCCCTGCCACCTTTTCCCCATCCTTCGGTCACCCAAAGAAAGACAGCAAAAGAGAATCGAGCAAAAACACACCAGAAATGTTTCGTACACTTTCCAAGCGATTCAATTCCAAGCAAAGCAAGCGCACAAAAGCCCAGGGATGCCAACGCACCCGGACGGACAGCCGTCCATCTCCAGCAACTCGCCCCCTTGCTCTCCGGCAGCCCACCTCATCATCGCCCTGATTTACATCAGAAACCCCCTTTTTTCACGGCCCCGTTTACCCGACAACGCCTGCACCCCTGACACGCGCGGGGTCGAACCACAAAACCCGAGTTGCTCGCTAACACACTACAATACCCGCTCGGGTTCTTCCAGATCGCCTGCTAACATTCTCCCTCGTTAACGACAACAATAATTAAAATACCCGGGAACCGTGGCCGTTCAAGGGGCGGGCATGGGCAGCTTTCCACCCACATCGCCCCTTTTGCTTTCTCTGCCTCTGACCTTTCAGCCAAAAGTACGGGGCCAAGGAAGGAGCCCGGGGCCTGGGGGGCCGGGGGAAAGGGGGGAGGCCCCGGGTACACGCTCCCTTGCTGGTGAGTCCCCCCCAGCCTGTGAAGACATGTTGGGTATGCGCAAGGCGACGGCTTACCTTTCTTAATTACAGTTTGGTCTGGGATGTTAATGCCGGGGTCTTCTACGTGCTGCAACAAAAGGAAACAGGCACGCATGTAAATGGACAACCACAACAAAAAAACAACGGTGGGGGGAGGGCTGGGGTGCAGGAGAAGTGGTGTGCATCTGTGTGTCTGTCCCCCCCTCCCCGGGCAGGGAGACAACAGACCCCGTGGCAGGAGGGTGGTTGGGGTGGTGGGACGGGATTTTGGGGATGGATTTCCTTTATCGGGAGAAATCCCGCATCCCTCCCCGTTCTTCCCCCGTTCCCCAAGAAGAAGAAGGCAATAAATAAAACACCCCCACCACCCCGGGGGCTTGCCCGGCCGAGCACGGCACCCAGGCGGCCTCCAGCTTCTGTGGGCTCCTTCCTCCCTCCCCGGGAAGAGGCCC